TCCTTGGAGGAGGAAAAAACACAAATGTTATCAATTGCACTAATGTTCATACTAGCCAATTAAGCTTGTCTGTAGTTAATTCCACTGACTGAGTTGCACTTACTGTGTTGGTTCAGTAATTTCAGACAAAACAAAATGGATGAATCATTGCAAACTATCACCTTAGCTTCCATGCAAGGAAATGCCCGTTTTATAGGCTGAAATGAAATTTAGACTAGTGTACTATACAAAAATAGATCAGCAAGTGGCAATTGAATTCGACAAGAAGGCGATGGAATGGAAATGATGATCCTTTATCTATCCATATCTGATCATGAATTTCACTGAAAGAACAAATTAGACTTAGAATTAATACTTTGTGAGTGTTTTCTTTTTAAGCTTCAAATTAATTGTTTGACAAATTAGATAAAAACCCTTGGCACTTGTGGATTTATTGTAATGGTATGCAAGAGCTGCTACAAAAGATCCATGATATATAGTAATGCACAAGTTATTAGAGGATTCCTTTTGAGTGAAGTTGATGACCAGACTGAAATTCCTTATGGGATGGTACTTACATGTAATTCAGCTGGGAATAAAACTGACAAACTTCATATGCATTACCTCACTTTATTCTCATCTGTCTAGAACATGAGTACCAGCTTGACATTTTATAGATGAGGAAAGCAGCTCTTCTCTAGCTATTTGGGCAATATGCTCCAGTTCACATGGCTAGTAAATGCTGAATCAGGGATATTGATCCAAGTCTTCCAATTCACCAACTTTCACTTTGTTGTTTGTTTTGAAGTGGTAAGGATTGAACCCAGGGCCTCAGGCATGCTAGCTAAGTACTCTACCTACAAGTTACAACCCCATCACATCTTTTCCTTTTTTTCCCTTTGTTTTTGTAAGTAACTTTAAAGGTGATGAAAGTAATTACATTTCTACTTTATAAATTCTTTATTTTATCATGATAGAAAATACTTTATTTGGGATTTATTTTTTAATGAGATGAGGAAAACCCCTTATTGTAGGCACAGGCTCATAGATTGCTTTCATGTTTCTTAACCTATAAGATCAATTTGGTATTCAATTATTTTTTTTTCTTTCACCCTAATATCCCCCAAAAGTTCATTAGACTTTGTAGGGCAGGGCAAAGTTGGCTATACTTAGGTTCCCTTACTGAGACTTCCACCATTATGTTTTAGTATGTAATCAAGGTCATAATCACCCTGATTCAAGTTAATTGTTTATGACTCCAGGTCATAAGCATCTTTTTGTGATCATGTACATATTTATGTAAACTATTGGCACTGCAACTTCTTTATTTGGCTTGCATATATAAAAGGCCCATGGAAAGACTTGGGTGGGGAAGACGCTAGAGGCTGCTGTCACCTCTGCATAAAATATGTCTACTATTCCAACTGTGCCCTGCATCTTCATTTACCTTCCTGGATCCTGAATCTGTCTCCAGTGTCTGAGCCCCTGGAGGACACCCTTATAATTTCTCATTTCAAAAAATGCTATATCTATATATAAACATGAATTTTGCCTGTATCTGTAATTGCTTAAGTATCTCCTAAATAGATAACTATAATTAAGTTCTCAAGTAATGGGAAGTTGTTACAAATTTCAGTATTTGACAGGATTTTTTTAAAATTAGTAACTTAATTATTCAGAATAATGGGTTTTTTCCTGGCATATTCATATATGCATATAACATATTTGATCATTTCTGTATTCCCCCACCATCCTCTCTTCCCAACTCTTCTTCCCTCCCCCAGTAAAAGGCTTTTTAGAAAAAGATTGTGCTCCTCAAATAGTGTGCATGCAATCCTTTTGCTAGAAAGCTTATCTCATTATGAAGATTGTTGTTGCTGCCTATTTATCCTAAGTCTATGATTAAATATTAGTCGTTTTTATTGCCTTATTTGTGTATTTTTTATGTATGTATTTATTGATCTTCTTCCCAGATCCCCCACTTTCTGGCCAGTCTCTATTTTTCCATAGTATTTCTAATAGAGCATTTGTCACATTGTGTGGTATTTTCATTAAAAAAAAATGGTAACAACACCCTTTTGGGTGTTCAAGTGGATAAAATGCAGTGAGGCCAAGCCAGAATAGCACATATAAGGTACACCATACACTTTAGTTTTCCAGCTACCAGATAATGTAGGATAGTGGATTCTCATGGAGGCCAAGTAGCAGCCCCAGGACCCAGACCCTGGTACACCTTCCTTCTCCCTACTCTTTGTCTTAGGCTAAGACTCCTTTAAACAGAAACTTTTCATGTGAAGCTGGGAATCAGGGGAGGCACTCAGGGAAAACCACCTTGTCCCTGTCTCTGCTCACCCATTCAGAGGATACAGACAGCAGGCTTTTGGTTCAGGTGCCTCCCTGCCTCTTGAAAGACAAGGTGCTAGGAATACTCCAAATGCCTAGAAAAATTAGAAGGAATTGAGTATGATCCTATATAATTGTAAGTAGCCAGATTCTGAATTATTGGGAAAAAATGGTACCCTGGGTGGGAACTGGTAAGAATGGAGAATGAGGGCTTCAAGTTTTGCTGAGTTAGCATGGTTTAAAATTTTACTGTACTGCCTGCTTCTAAGTCTCCAAGAAAAACATCCCATTTTTAAGTCGGGCATTAAGTTATCTCAGGTGATGAATGACATAAAGAAGCTTAGTGCCGAAAGTTTGGAATTTCATCTCCCTTTAATATCTGAATATTTATATGTTCACTTTTAATTTAGTCAAGTTCAGAATATTTATTGTTATTTCTGCTGTCATACCAATATATTTTTCTGTCCTGATGAAAAATAAGTTACATTTTAGGTAAAACAGTTTACACACAATCAATACAGTGCTGGACAGAATCAGATTCAGAGAAGCTTTCTTTTTCATTTCAAACTTATACAGAAAAAAAATCTGTTAAAATACTTATGTTTTGATAATAATTAACAGCTTATATTAGGGTTTAATCAGGAAAGACTAAAAATGACTATTTTTTAAATCTACATCAGTTGTTCTAAAGTTTTATTTTTCTTTTAATATTTAAGTGTGAATAATTCTACTAATAGAATTTTTTTTCTAAGAACTTGAAAATAGAATATATTGTGCCCTTCAGAACTTTATCTAGGGATCATGTCAACTATTTTCTTATATAAAATTGAATTTAAATATCCTATAAATTCTCAAGAAAAAATTTTGACACCTTCCTAGAGTGCCATTAATCCACACACAGACTAATACAAAGTTTTATATGAGATGGGTAACAGATCTATATATGAAAATAAAACACCATCACAAGGTCTTAAAACTCATAAACATGTTTTAAAAATGTTTATTGTTTCATTTAAATACAATGTTCATTTACACATTTTTCTATAACTGTCTTTAGTAAAAAAAAAATCTGCGTTTACATACAAAGTTACAATGAGAGAATGTCACTGGAATAAAAAGGCCCAATCATGTATGCATTTTTTTAATATTTATTTTTTAGTTGTAGTTGGACACAATACCTTTATTTCACTTACTTATTTTTATGTGATGTTGAGGATCAAACCCAGGGTCTCGAACATTCGAGGAGATCACTCTACCAATGAGCCACAACCCCAGCTCCTCATGTATGCATTTTTTTGTGCTTAATTACATAATAAATTAAAACATGGGTCACTTTGAAAAGTGGAAACTGTTTCAGGGTTAAGATTTTGATTATCCTTCATTGAAAGAAATTTTAAGTCTGTACATAATAAAAATGCAAGTCAGTTCTGGGAATATCAAATAGGCTTGTTATGCTATCGTGGAGAATTGTTTAAAATGAAGAATACTGGGCAGGGCCAATGGATTTACCAAAAGTGATTTTCCTGGAGTAGAAAGATAACCACATATTTACATGTGTTCTTGGCAGTGATACTCCTACTCTGAGAAGACATTTATAACAAGTTAGGTCTAATATAGAAGACTAGATTAGCAGCTGTTTTTACCCATTGTAGCTGAAGTTCTTCTTTAGCATACTGAATAGTGAGTGACACATTTGTCCCCATGGTCTTTGTGGATGTTGTAGAATTCTATAATTTTCAAAATAGAGTTTCTGTCTAAATGATGTAGGGTGTGCAGGGTCATACATTTAGGAGAGTATGAGTAGAAGCATTAGAAAAAAGCAAATTAGGAAATAAATAGCAATGGGTTGGCTTACCACTGAAAATCAAAACAAAATTACAAAAATATCTCTAGAAGAACTAAACAGTGTATTTACACCAATAATACAAGTTTCAGGATGCCCACATTCAAAGATATAGTTGAAAAATAGAAAAAGGATAACTATGTCCTTCCTGTATCTGAGGATTTGATGTGTCATGTTTTAGAGGAAATGTTTATTTTAGAGGAAACTGTGAGATGCATGGTTTGCATCAGCAACAGAGAGCCTTATTAGTGAAAATTCAATGGACTGTTTATAAGTGTATGTTAGTGCATTTAAAAACAGTTCAATAAATAACGTATTATATGGGAAACTACCCAAAATATCTTCATTTCATCTTGGGTTATTTCTAGAAAGCAAGCAACTATTGTGTCTTTTGTGTTTTTTTTGTTTGTTTGTTTGTTTTTGGTAGTGAGGACTGAACCCAGCAGTAGTTTTCCACTGAGCTACTTCCCCAGTCTTTCTTATTTCTATTTTTTGAAACATTGTATTGCCCCATAGCTGAAGTTAAAGAGGAACTTGTGATCTTTCTGCCTCAGTCTCCTGAGTCACCAAGATTAGAGAATAGAGATTAGAGGTGTGCACCACCATGCCCAGGTAACAACAATCCTGTCTTAAGGATAAAATTTAAAATAAAATTTACCTTCAGCATGGATAATGAAACAAAAATGATCACATTGAAAATTTTAGTATGAGTACTACAAGTATTTTATACTTATTAATTAATCCCCCAAATTAATTAGGGCATATAGGAAATATAACACTGTATTTTAAATAGTTCCTTAGAACATATTTTCACTGGTAACTATTTTTACATATATTTAAATTAAAAATAAAACATATAAACATTTATTCATATACACGAGTTGTTTCAAAGGATAGAAGTATTCCTTTTAACATAAATATTTTAAAGAGATATTTACAAGAGATAATTTTCCTATCTAAAGACAAAGACTTCTGATACCTTATTCAACAGATGTTCTTTTCATTTTTTCTGCTAATTCTTTTCTCACTTCAATGTGTTTTTCTAAATTTTGCACTTCATGTGGAAGATTGATGTCCCAAACAGACAAGCAAGATTGTATCTCTATAAAAAGAAAAAAATAAAATCATGCTTCAAACATCCATTATAAAATATTTTTATTTTGTTAATTTATATTTCATTATATATAAGTACTAAACTATTGCCATTTATAAAAAATATTCTTATAAAATGTTAATAATACACAAGGTCTTAACTACCAAATTTCAAGAGGCACATAGACAACTTTATAACCAATCATTTCATTTACTGAAACAAAGAGAGCTTTTTCCAACATTATTCAACATTAGGCCTCATCTGGATATAGGTAAGTTATAAGCAAAAAATATTCACATTTAGTTTAAATTTGAAGTAGTTCTCATTTTATAGTGACTGTTCTTTTTCCCTCATCTGAAAAAAATAAATATTTAAGATTCCTAAATCATTGAAACTTAATATTGAAATTTGCCTAAATTATTTACACTGTAAAGAAACTATCAATTAAAATTGCTAAAAGTATATGTAATATCTACTTTAAATTTATAAAACACAATATCTTTTCCTCCTATTAAATATTACCTTTTTGTTGTTGTATACCTTCGGTAGTTTTCCGTTTGTACCCCAAAACCAGCATGACATTTTTAAGGCTTCCTTTAAAAAAACAAAATACAGAAGTTTTCTATCAATACAATAAATTAAACTATATCAAAAAACAGTAAAGTTGCAATTCTTAATTATGTGAATCTGAGAAAGCAGCTAAAGCTTTCTATAAAATAGGTTTAATTTTATACATTACTTCTTCTAAAATTATACTATTAAATGGATAATGTGTATAAAAGTGTTTTTGATACTACAAGGAACAAATATGAAGCATGGGGATAGAGAGTTGAATAGATGCATAACTGACCCTCTATCACAATATCGTATTATCAAGTCATTCACTAATTAATCTGAAAAATGTTCATCAGAAGTCTTGTATGTACTGGGCTATAGGCTAGGTCCTGGGAGTAAAGAGATGTCCAAAAAAACACAGACCCAACTCACATGCAGGTTATATTCTGGTGAAGATATTGACATTAGTTGGGGAAAAAAATCATGACTGATGAATGCTATATAAGAGAGGTACAGTGAAGCCACATCATTGTGCACCTTGTAGTCTATGTTTAAATTTAATTTTTATTTTAAAATAAATAATAATCTACTGAAATGTCAATATAATTTCAATTATGAACAACCATGTGGGTTCCAGAGTACATACAAACTAAATTAAATAAAACAATATTGATCAAATAAGACAGGGAGATAACCCACTGAGACCTACTAATCTGCTTGTGTGGACCCATCCTGGTAGTTAACAATCACCAAGAGCATCTAATCTACTTCTGTGCAACCCTGATATCTATAAATGACAAACAGGTGAGGGTACAGGAGAAACACCTTTCTTAAGATATTCTTGCAAAAAGAATCTATTTTCTTCACCATGGTCAAACATTGTATTGCTGACATATTAAACTTACATAAACTTTACTTTTGCAGAACTAAACCCTACACTGTTATTTTGTGATCAGCTTTGTATATAAGATATTATAGCTTTCTGAATAAAATAATTAATCAAAGGAAGACATTGAAATACATTTTATGTGAAAAATACATTTCACATAAGAGCCAGAATAGACATAAAAGGTTGAACAAAACTTATCATGATTTGTCAATATTTGTAGATTGTGGAGTTCAGCATATATTGCTACAAGAATTTTTTTATAGAATGAACAACCAAATGGTATTCTTTACCAAGGGTGGGCAGCTTGGACTATGACCAAAATAAACATTTGCTTTAACTTCTTGAATGAAATAGCAAAACATACTCAAGGCTATGTATTTCCCATTTTTGCCTTTAGGTAATAAGGAAAAAAGCAAGTAACACCCAAATCAAGGGGCTAGGATAGTGGTTCAGTGGTGGAGCACTTGTCTAGCATGTGTGGGGCACTGGGTTCAATTCTCAGCACTACATAAAAATAAAATAAAGGTCCATCAACAACTAAAAGGAAAAAAAAAACTTAAAAAAAAAAAAAGACCCAAGCTGAATGTTCAACCTCGGTCATCTGTTTCTCTTGGGGGACTAAGAGCAGCTTTTTCTTCCACATTTTAAAGGGCCTTATTTAAAATGTATCCCAGTCCTGTTTCATTATGTGAAATTTGAAGGAACTCCAAACAAAGCTGGAAAGTGAAAACTTAAATTTTAAAATAAATGCATATTTTTATAATCTTCAAGGACATGAAAAAGAAACTTGCCTAACTGTGCCGCCATCATGACTCTAACAGAATCACAGAAGTTGTTAATTATGCGTATAACTCGACGAGTTGAAAGATCAAGGAGTAAAATATGGCCTCCTCCAGTTCCTATCCAGAGAGCAGTGTTCTTCTGAAGGCAAAGAGTTTTCACTCTCCCGGAATACGACATTTTGTGCTTTGATTCCTTATTTATTTTTACCATTATCTCCCTAGGAATCATAAAGAAAGTATGCATTAATAATTTCATCAGCAATTAGGGGATAAAAGAGATTTGTCTCTCTATATATGTACATATAATAACTTTTCAAATTATGAATATATAACAATTCAGTCATCCCTTGGTATCAAGGGGGATTGGTTCTAGGAACCTTCCCCGCTCACTGCAGCTACCAAAATCATAGGTGCTCAAGTTCCTTTATGTAAAATGATATAGTATTTGCATATTACTTTCTCTCCTATATAATTAAATCATCTCTAAATCACTTATAATACCTAACAAAATGTAAATGCTGTATAATAGTTGTTATGCTGTATTGTTTAAGGGATCATGGCAATAAAATGTTCAGTAAAGATGCAACCGTAATAGGTCTAACTTTCTGATCCTAGGTGGGTTCAATCTGTGCACACAAAACCCAAGTATATGGAGGAATGACTATATACATTATGAGGGCTTTGTCTCTCACATGTTGAATTAGATCGCCATGTCTGTCTGTCAGGGTCTTGAGCCTCCCTCCTTACTTAGTGCACTGATCAGGTCATTTTGTGACCTTTTTCTTTATATTACAGAATCTTTGGGAAAGTAGTTTTAATTATATATAGTAACATCTGACTCTGTGACAATTCTAGACATATACCCAGTAGTCTAGAATCCAGTATGGCCACTTTTAAAAATGACTGTTTCACTAGAGAATATTCTTAGTAATACCATATAGTATGTTCCTATTCTTTTATTTTCCCAAAATGAAATGTACAGGATATCAAAAGATGGTGCTGACAACCATTAACAATTTTGTTTCTGCATTTTCAAAAATTTTCTATTTACAGGGAAAAAGAAAAATAAGCAGAGCTCCCTCCTTTGTGCAGTCTGAAGCATAGAGACAGTTCTGGCAAGCAGAAAATAACCACAGAACTTACTTTAAAAAGTGTACACAGTCTATGAGTTCACAGAGCTTTTCAGTTTTCTTATCCCACACTTCCACAACAGGGCTATTTTTCTTAGCAATATAGAGAGCTGTCTCTACTGCCACAGCTATGATATTGGAATCACTGAAAGCTGCATAAGAAAACCTAGGGAAGGAAAAAAGAATGTCAAAAAAGTCATGATACCACCTTATGGTTGTTCCTAAGGCATGTAAATTTAACACTATTTTGGAAATAAGCTAGACTATTGCCCATGTTCTCCTGTAACCATCCTAAATTGAATATGAAACTTACTTTGCTACTTTACTTACTTTTGGTTACTTTATATTGGTTTCTCTTGATAAAAATAAAGACTATAGTTAATGTTTATTCCTGGTTTTAGTTTTAATTTCAGTACTACCTGGTTCTTTATAGAATTATATGTTGCATCTTAAGTTTTAAAAGAAATATGACATTTGTAACTTTTAGATGTTGCAACTAAATCACTGTGGTAATGAATATTTGGAAAATTAAAAGCTAGCCATCTATACCTAGAGTTATAAAGCATAAGATGTTGAAATAAGTTTAATGGCCTATCTTTAAGGGCTAAAAGGAAAGGTATTCTTGCAGAAACATAAGTTAATCAAGTTACAAGAAAAAGATGACCATCGTCCAAGCATAAATGGAAAGTAAATTGTTTACCATTTACCCCCTTTTAAAATGAAGGAAAAATACCAGCATTTTAAAATAACTCTCAGCCAACCTAAGACATGTGGCATTGTGTGTATTTCACAAACAGATTGGCGATCCTAAGCCCTATCTGCATGGCAAGCTCCTAGTCAGCCTTTGAGGCTTAACCTAAATGTCAGCTCCTCTGGAATTCCTCACTGACCTATCAAAATAGAGCAACCATTCTTTCTCCCCACTGTTGTAGCTGTATTTTTATAGTCCTTATTAAACATAATAACATTTTAGCTGATCATGGTGGAGCACACCTGTAATTCCAGGTACTCAGGAGGCTGAGGCCAGAGGATCATGAATTGGAACCCAGCCTAGAGACCTTAGCAGTACCCTATCTCCAAATAAAAATAGGAAAATAAATAAATAAATAAACAAACAAATAAATAAATAAAGTATTTATTTATTAGTGTCTCCCTCACACTAGATGGTAATTTCTTAAGGACAAGCATGTGTTTTCTACATATTCACAATCTAATAAGGAGTTATTATGAGTAAGTACCTCTGATACACCAGGCAATTTATTAATTGTTCTGACTGTATAGCAGACAGAGGATGGACTGATGAAGAACAAACTAAAAGAACAGAATGAATTACCAGAAAAAAGTAAAAATAGTTAAAATTGCAATTGAATCACAAAGATAATATGAAAATACCATAGGGATATGACAATAATTAATATATCCTAGTGTGTAAATATTATTTTCTCCACTTTTATTTATTCTGCCAAGGGAGATAAAAATATTTTGCAAGACAGCCACTACATTTTAAGTAATTTCTTTTGAGGTGCTAGCTATCTTAATATAAGATAGTTCCAATTAGCACAAAGTTTTACACAGAATTTTAGAAAACACAAAATATTTGTGTGTTATCTTGTTTAATTCTTAAAATAAACTTGTATAATATGATAATCTCAATGTATATAATTATAGAAAGAAAAGCTTACAAATGCTAAAGAATTTTCTCATGGTCACATGACTATCATGTTTTAGACCAGGGACACAAAGCAAATCCTCTGGAGTCTCCTGGCTCCAAAGATAACTTCTTTAACTAACTACCACTCCTTTCATTCAGGGTTTGCTGATGGTGATAAGGAGATAAAGATGATGAGGCAACACAGGTTCATGAAATGACATCTCTTTAATGGGGAAGAGTCCAGGAAACAGAAGATGCATTTTTAGAAAAAAAGCAATAGTTTCAAGTGTTTACAGGTGTTTATGGTACTGGTTCATAATTTCTTTTGAGAGATTATTATCTTTGAAAGACTGATATTTGTGGATGTCCTCTAATGAAGCATCTATTCTCCAAATCATATGGAATTTTAAGGGGGCTGATTGATACCAATGATGCCATAAAATGCTCCATGAAAAGAAGCAATTGCAGGCCTTTCCTTTAAGGGTTATCAGACTTGTAGAGTTGGGTTAAAAATGTAAATGAAATAATGGGAATGCAAGTATCCAAACAGTTACCACATACGAGTTATCAAATTTGAGAAGCAGACAACTAAAATCCTCATCCACCAGGTTTTATATCACAGTGTATCTTAACCCTGACCATGTCCAACCCAGAATCACCCGAAAACTGGAAGAGCAAAACAACACTGAAGAGTGGGCCCTATTTTTAGCTTAATTGGTCTGATGTCATTGTCTGCAGTAGTGCCCAGGCACAAGATAATTTTGACCTACCTTGTGGTTTCTACGGCACAGTCAATGTTCAGAACCAGCCGGTCTGGTGGTATTAAGAAACTATTTTTAATGCAATCATAAAAACGTGACAGCTGTTATGGAAGGAAACAGCAGATGCAATGGAAGCACAAATCGAAGACAGGTAGGATCAGGAACAGCCACTTAGAGGAAGTAACATTTGGACTGAAATAGGCAGAGGTCATAACAGACAAAAGAGAAAACCGTACCCAAAGACCGGGGGACAAAAGGAGAAGACTGTCTTTGAGAAATGGGACAATTTCAGTTTGGCTAAAGCACAGAGGGCTAAGAAGTTCAATACATAATCTAGAGAGGTAAGCAGGACTAAATCATGGTGGGCCTGGTAGGCTACTTGGGCTTCATCAAAGGACAATGGCATGCAACTGAAGAATTTTAACGAGAACTGGAGAGGAAGGTGCTGTTGTTGGTGCATAGATGATGGATGATAGTCTGGCTCATGGAAGCAATGAGAAGTAAAAGGACTTGAGGGATATTTATAATTAAGAGAGTCAAGTGAATAATGGGGGAAAGTGATCAAAGCTTATTCCCAAATTTCAATCTGGGGCAACTAGAGGGATACTGGAAACTAGGATGGTCCCTGAAATAGGAATTTGTGACCCAAAGCTACTAACAATCATAATAATAGTTGACATTTGTTTAGAGCTTACCAAGTGCTAACCACTATATTAAGCTCCTTACATTAATTTTCATATTTAATCTCTCAAACACCCCTTTGAAACAGAGTGTATTCTGATCTTCAAGTAAGAGATAGCTGAAGATTTGAAAGGTTCTTCACCAGCTCATAAAACCAATAAAGACCGAAGTCAATATTTAAACTTTAATTTATGCTCTTGCCCACTGCCATCCTACATCGCTTATCACCAAGGAAAATAATAAAAAGAAGCAAACAGATCAGGTTAAATTACAATTTAAAAATTGAAACAATAAATTGGAATGAGGTTCATATCTTATGTATTTATTTTTTGAAACTGGTATCACTAGCTTGGCTATAATTTTGATAATCAATTATCAAACCTAGAAATGGCTTCAATCCTACAAATCTGTTTTCTACAATTTATTCTTAATGAAATTACCCCAAACTGTATATATATATATATATATTATATTCATATTATTACATATAATATGCGAATATTACATATATTCATATATCATATGAAACTCATGGATTTAGTACAATAGTGAGTTGACTGCCTTGTAATTCCATGTCTAATTTGAAACAGAGATAATAAAATTGTTAAAAATGTAATTGGAAGATACAGTAGGATAATGATGGGTTTATATATTATTCCAAAAGTGATTAAACAAGTTGAATTTTTAAAATGCATTTCTGCTTTCTGGAATTTTCTATGATGTGTATTTATTTTTATAGTAGACAACTAAATTATGCATTTTTAAAATGTGTTCATTTTAGATTATCAATAATATTGATATGATTGTAAACCACAAAAATAGATGGTAGATTAGCTGCAGAGAAAGGAAACAACTTACAGTTGATTTGTCCTTGTCTCAATGAGTTTCTGAACAGTGAAATCATTAGAAAAAGAGAAAACCTTTGTGCCACATCCTCCCCACATGATGTTCTTTTCAGCTGAATTCACGGATTCACTCAAACACATCAGTGGAGTGCTGACATTTCCTATATTTAGTGTCTTCAAAGGAGCAGCTCCTTTACACTTTGACAAAAAGAGAAAACACATTCAGCATATTGAGTATCTATGGAATGGAACACAATAAAATTCTTGCTTTCTGAAACTACTTCCCATTTTAAAGGACTAGAGATATCAAAATAAAAATTCAGACATACTTTTCAAAGTATAAATAATATTCAGTATCTAAAACAGGACTCAATTAAAATATTATCCTTATAGCCAACTTCTTTACTTCATAAAAAAAAATTGTATGAGGAATAACCTGGGGCTTTTACTCCACCTCTGTGTCTCTCTTTAGATAGTAAGGTTTGGGTATCGAGGAGTATGAGTGGGTAGGAAGTTGAGTGAATAAATGAATCCATAGTTGAGTCGGTAGATAAAGGAATTAATGCTTTAATGACTAAATTTTAAAAAATGAAGATCATAAAGTTAAATGATTTTTTCAGTGTGAAGAAAAAGTTAATGGCAAGACAAATTTGTTCCCTCCCTCCCCTCCTGTGTGTGTGTGTGTGTGTGTGTGTGTGTGTATGTGTGGTACTTGGAACTGAACTGGGGCTTTATGCTAAGAACACTCTCTACTAAGCTGTGCCCTCAGGGCACAAAACAGATTTAAAATTTGAATATTCGTTGTTTTATTTCACAATATATTTATAAGGAATTAGCTGCTTCATTCATACCATTTCTAACATTTCAAATCCAGTCTCATCTATCATGTTATCCTATTCATTCATTTAAAAAAAATACAATCAGCAAGTGTTTCAGAGGATCTACTGTGTTCAAGACTTTATGAAGCAATAAAAAAGTTAAAAAGCAGAACTTAATGATCCTTGTTCTCAAGGAGTTTATAATCACGTAGTAGAGGGATGAGATACATAAAACAAAGGGTTTAAAATGAATTTGATGTAGAATGCATTGCACATTACCTTAACAGCCTTATCTTCAAAAATCACTAAATTGCCATCAGCAGTTCCCACCAAAAGAAAATTCTTTTGCTTGCTAAAAGGAAAAAAAATGCCAAAGTTGTTCCAAAAAGAGCATTTATATTGACTAAGAAGTCCTTAAAGTTCTCCCCAGCATGACTGAACTTTAGGCAGGTTTCTTGCTGACTATAGTCTCCTGCCCTCCATTTTCTTGGAGCTTTTATTTAGAAAACTTGCAATTATAAATTCTTTCTCAGCCCCTTTGAGATGTAAATCTTTCCCCAGCCTCTTGACGGTTTTATATACAGGAAAGTCTTTCCCAAGGACCTAGGAGCCATCCCTTTAAAATTTAATCATCAAAAGAAATGGCCTCCCTATTTCCCAGTCACTGTGGGAGAGCAGCGGACTACCTTCAATGATAGCACATTAGCCAAAGCAGATGGCTATTGTTAATGTGTTTACAAGCACCCACAGGATCCTCCAACACTTTTCTACAACTGTAGCTCACCTTAAAACTCTCCCACTTTTGTGTCAGTGGTGTTGGGTTCAATCTCTCTCTCCTATCATGATTGCCTTGAATCAAGTCTACCTTGCTTGCTTAATCATCAGTGACATTTTTCTTTAAAAATGTCCAAAGAGTTTCAGCTTCAAAATTGCCAGTGAAGTTTTTATTTCAGGTACCAAAAACTTTTGTTTCACATTTTTCTGATACTTCAAGTAATGACTTAAACTAGAGAAGTATATGGTTCATAATCTTAATGGCCCCTAGAAATTGTCTTGTCTAGTAGTCAACTTATGACTCATATCTGAAATTTTGCCATTTAGATAACTTTCTTTGGGATAAGATCCCTATAAATGATAAGAGTTTAGTCACTTTTACCTATTAATAACTTATTAATTTCTTATATTCTTTTCCAATTTTGTGGTTATATTACCGATATGTTTAAGCCTGGTAAATAATAGGCTGGCAATATACATATGTATATACATGTATTCAAAGAAAGAATTAATAAAATTCATCTTCCAAGAGGCCCTACCAAGGAATATTGACTTGAGGAGAAGTAGAGATAGGATCACAGCTGAGGTAATAGCCTAAAGAAACAGTTGGCTCATTTTATGACCCTACACATAGAAAAATAACAACTTCCATTGTGGCCCAATTCTCTTGAGTAGATGCAAACCAATGAAAATAGGCTAAAAATGAGGAATCTTTGGCAATATGATAAAAATTTTGTATAAAATTAAATCATCTACATGGTATACGATTTTCACTCAACTAAATCCACAACCCTACATACCTTTGCTTAGAAAAGGAATTGCAATACAAACAGGTAACGGCATCAGTCATCTTTTCAAGGGTGTGTCTCTTACTTCCGTCTTCGGTATTGATGACCAGGAGAGTACCACACTGTGTCCCACACACAATCCAGCTTTGCTTTTCGGCAGGAAGATGCACCAAGGCCAAGCACAGTATAGTACTATCAGCTACCTCCTGTTAACAGAAAATAATACTCTCTACAGGACTTGGCTCAATAACAAGAACTTGTATAGGACAAAAAAAATGCTTCACCAACATACATAACTTCTTTATCTTTGTGCATTTACTTTTTAAAACAATGCCAATTTTATTCAATTTTGAACAATATTTGAGTTAACTGGCAAACAATTTATGCCTACCTAGAATGCATCTGAAACCAAAATTCCGAATTATTTTTCAGTCTCAATTATCATTCCAACAAAACCATATGAGAGAATTGTTGAATCTTAAGCACAATTTTAGGGACAACATTTATTTTGAGGCAAAAATCAAAATATTAGGTTATTTTTTCAGCTTAAAATTTTACCTATTAATAAGTTTTATCAACAACTTTTTAGCTTCTGTGAATGGTGGCTGTCATCTGCACAGACCTGCTCTCTTCACCACAGAATGCCAGCAGCCAATGGGCACAGGGTACGGGTTCTACCACCCTCACCTCTGGGCAGATGGCAGCAGACAACTAACTGACATGTGAGAATTAAACGCTGGTCCTCTTGCTGGGTGGCAGGAATTCTGTTGTGCTATTCACATTCCAGAGTTTCTTATGAGTAGAGGCTGAGGCTCAGTTTCCTCAGAAACCACAGTTGTGCTGAGCTTCTGCCTCAATCCCTTCTGGCTTCCTCTACTTCTTTCCAAACTTCTCACTCCCTAAATCACATGCACTAGATTACCTGTCTCAGACCCAAAACCCATATATACTTTGGTTTTAAAACACACCAGACTAATTTCATGCAAATTCCTATGTTCTAAGAGAAAGTTAATTTAATAATACTCCTACATTGGCTCTTATCTAATTTCTTTCAAAGTAATTTTAATTGGTATATGCTTTAAAATATATTAAAGTAAGTGTTCTAAAAGACTTATGATTTAAAGAGTATTCAGATTTACCTCAGAAGTGAGTCCTTCAGTGTTTAAGTCAAGAAACAAGAGCTGACCTTTGTCAGTGTGCCCACAGCCGAACCAAACTCGTGCATTCTTGCTGTTAGGATTTGTAGCAACCATGCATTCAACAATAAGGGTTTTGGGTATTAAAATGTGTCTCATCAGACAGATTAAGTCAGCTGAATTCAAAATGTCAAAGACCTGAGAAAGTTTTAAAATAACAAAACAACACACATATAAAGTTATTCCTCTTTAAAGATTGAATATAGAACTAAATGTCGTAGCTCTATCAAGCAAAACCTGAATTTGTTAAACTGTGATCTACTCAGATCATCAAGATTAATAATCCAAACTACAGATAAAATTACACTGAAACAAATAAACACTTTCAAACTATGTATATTTTGTATATTTGTATATTTGGTATTTCTTTTTAATTTGAAAAGAACAGTTTAAAAGTGTCAACTGACCAGAAGTTTAGCAATATAGAATTGAATGAAGAATAATTCTTTCAAAAATTCTGGTCAGTTGGCACTTTTGATCTGTTCTTTTCTTTTCAAATTAAAAAAAAAAAATACACACATACACACACACACACACACAAAAGAGGATATATCGTGCCCAGTATAAAACTATGTGTAGTCGTTTTTTAATTTTGTTGTTGTTGTAGATAGACACAATACCTTTATTTATTTATTTATTTATTTATTTATTTATTTATTTATTTATTATGTGGTGCTGAGGATTGAACCCTGTGCCTCACACATGTCAGGAAAGTATTCTACCACTGAGCCATAACCTCAGCCCCATATGTGTCATTTTTTCAATGTAGTTTTATCTGTAGTTTGGATTATTAATCCTGATGATCTGGATGAATCGCAGTTTAACAAATCACAAATGATTTGAAATTTTATGTATAATTAAGCTAAGAATAGCTAAAACATACCTAGAGAAGAAAAATAAGTGAAGAGAAGAAATTAAATAAAGCTATAGGAAAAATACATAAGTTGACCAATGGAAGAAAATATGTGTATGGAGATGTCTATGTATTTTTGACAAATTCCAAAATGTTCATGTCAGATCAGTGAGAAAGAAAGGAAGAGAAACTAATAAATGAAGCTGGAAAAACTGGTTTTCTATTTAGAAATAGGAAATTGGACCCAGATAAATATACCAATTCTACATGGATTAAGAAATTAAATGCCAAAAGCATAACTTTAAAAATATTTTTAAAAATCATAGGTAAATATTGTTGTGACTCTGGGTGAAAGGACTTCTCAAAACAGGACTTGAAAAGTAATAACCATAAAAAAGATTGCCAAATTTATACATATTAAAATTAAGAATGTCTTCTGCTCATTATGGGATACTCTAAGGGACATTGAAAAAGGAAAGCCACACGAACTCAGGGAAAAAAATTTAACATATATAATTTAAAAAGGATGAGTATACTGTATTTGAAGAATGTCCTTTTCTTACTGTGATTTGTAGGCAAATGGACAAAATAACAAAGAGTCATTCCACAGAAGAAATACACACACACACACACACACAGAGACATCTGGGGTGCTGCATATATTTTCTGTGTGTGCCAAGATAGTGGAGATTATAGGAGTTCCACCTTATAATTATTTTCAACTCTATGTTTGTGTCTGTGTTTATTTATGTGTTTGAGTACATATATTTGAAGATTTTTACATATTATGTTTATATACGTAAATATATATGTATATATACATACATATATATATGTATATATTATATATATGTATATATATACATATATATATATATACATATATATATATATATATATATATATATATATATGTATATATATATATGATTA